TGTAGGGCAGTGGCGGGAGTCAGCACACATTCTCTGTCAGGGAACACATCAGGAAGGGAGGACGCCGCAGGGAGGGATTTGGGTGGTGGCCTCAGGTGCTCTGGGTGCCCCCCGGCCAGTGGCCCTGCCCAGAGCACCATGAGGACTCTGGACCTTGCTCTGGATGTCCAGGGGCAGGAGGATTCTCTGGCAAACAAGGTGTGTCTCTGTCTGCCGCCACCTGGGCTCCCTCAGCGCCTCTGCTGGGTGGGGCTTCTGTGCAGTGTGAGCTTGGCCGTGTACCACTGAGAGCTGATGGCAGCCCAGCCCTGAGCGCCAGGCCCGGCAGGGCACGCATGGAGGGAAAGCGCTGAGGGCTTGGTGGTGCAGTGGGCCGCTCCTGTCCGTGGTGTTATCTTAGGGCAGCACATGCAGGCCAGGCCAGGCCTGGCTGGAAGGGTGTGCCTTGGGGCCGGCTTTTGTCCACGTAGGTTTTATTTCATAATAAAGGGGCATGTGCTCACTGAAGAAAACAGAAAGAGGAGAACAGAGTTACTCCTGGCCCCACCACGCAAGCATGCCTTGGGCCCCCCTGAGATTTCCAGCTGGGGGTGCTACGGGGTGTGTGTGTGACCACGGCTTCACACCCTCATGCTGGTGCCTCCTCCCAGGGCTGTCGGAGCGTGGAGGAGTTCCAGTGCCTGAACAGGATCGAAGAAGGCACTTACGGGGTGGTATACAGAGCAAAAGACAAGAAAACAGGTGGGTAGAGTCCTGGGGTGGTCCCCCAAAGGGAAAGGGAGACATGGAGCAGAGCAGAGACTGGGTGGCCCAGAGACCCTGGTCGGCAGGGCCACCCCAGGCCTGTCCTCGAGCAGGAAGGAATTCCTCCTGAGCAGCATTGTCTTCAGGTGCACCTGTTGCACTGTTGGCGGGCCCATTCACTGTGCACAGGCCCTGCTCAGTCCCCACACTGGTTCTAGGAGGGAGGTGTGGTGTCCTGCCTGAGTTACAGCCAGCACACTGGGAGCTGAGATCCGTGCCTGGGACATCTTGTCCCCTGGCACCTTCAGCATTGAGGTCGTTGAACACACAGTTCCCTACTATTCTGGGAGTTGCCCCTCCCCTGGTGCCGGGCCACAGCTTCGCCTCACCTGGCTGCCACCAGGTTGTGACTCATGGGTGACACACACCTGAGCAGTTGACCTTTTGGTGCCTCCGGAGGCCAGAGGTCAGCCTGACCACGAGTCTGCTGCTTGCTTGTGACGGCAGGTGACTTGGCTCCACGGGAGCGTGGAGTCGGCTGGGCGAGGGTCCAGGAGCCGCTGGGGCATTGGCTTTCAGTGACGACACCTGAGCAGGTGTGTGGGCTTCGGAGGTGGAAGCCCCCCAGCGCCCCGGCTGGGTCTTGGGAAGTCACAATGGCTGTATGAGACCCTACGAACCTGGGGAGTGTTTGTGTTGGGACGCCAAGGTTTGCCACGTCTCCTCATCATCATGGGAGGGGTACAGGCATAAATGGGAAGATTCTCCATAGTGGTTCTGGACAAAAGCTGATCTGGAAACGTGCCTCGTGTTTCTACTGGACCAACCACAAGTTGGGGCTTTTCTTCTTGGTGTCAAATCATATGGGAGCTCCCAATTAAAATGAGACCTCTTACTTTGAGATGAGAAATGCTTTGTATGTTCTCATCTTACATGTTCACAGAAGAACATTTTCTCAGCATCCGTCTTTAAACTGTTTTCAGATGAAATTGTGGCTCTGAAGCGGCTGAAAATGGAGAAGGAGAAGGAGGGCTTTCCGATTACGTCACTGAGGGAGATCAACACCATCCTCAAGGCGCAGCACCCCAACATCGTCACTGTCAGAGTAAGGCGGTCCTGGCCTGACACACCTGTGCCCTGAGAAGGTTGTGTGATTCACACTCTCCTGTGTTTAGCAAGCTCTTGCACAGCGCGAGAGTGAACACTGGCCTCCAAAAATGCCAGGCCCTTCATAGTTGTCTCACTTACAGGTCCTTGCTATCACCCAGGGTCTGTGCCCCGGGATTTCAGGTTTCCGGGGAGAGCTGGTAGTCGCAGGGGTAGGGCCTTGTGGTACCTGGCACCAACAGACCTGCTGTTGTTTCCTAGGAAATAGTTGTGGGCAGCAACATGGACAAGATCTACATCGTGATGAACTATGTGGAGCACGACCTCAAGAGCCTGATGGAGACCATGAAGCAGCCTTTCCTGCCAGGTAGGGTCTGTAGGAGTTAGTCCCAGAGATGTGGCCCTCTGATCCACGTCCCCCTCGAGGGACATCTGACCCTCAGGCTGCCTGGGCCATGGGCAGTGTCTCTGGGGGCGGAAGGAGCACTGACCTTGTAACTCTGACTGTCACACTGTGTGCATGAGGGCTTGTGTGCGAGGGTGCGTGTGCGTGTGTGAGTGCCACCCCGGCTGGGAGTGTTCCCAGGATGAACGCACTCTGGGAAGCCTGGTTACTGGTAAGGCGGGTTGATATTGCGGGGGACCAGCCCTCTGCAGGGCCACACAGTGACCTCTTGCCATCCAGGGGAGGTCAAGACCCTCATGATCCAGCTGCTGCGCGGCGTGAAGCACCTACACGACAACTGGATCCTGCACCGCGACCTCAAGACGTCCAACTTGCTGCTGAGCCACGCTGGCATCCTCAAGGTGAGCCCGTGGGCCTGGCCTGAGGGGTGCCCGCTCCTGGCCACCGGGCCCCCGCACAGCCCGCCCTCTGCCCTTGCAGGTGGGGGACTTTGGGCTGGCACGGGAGTACGGGTCCCCCCTGAAGGCCTACACCCCAGTCGTCGTGACCCTGTGGTACCGCGCCCCGGAGCTGCTGCTCGGCGCCAAGGTGAGTGCTGGGGGGTGGGGGGGCCTGCCCTGCGTGTGTGGCCCCACCAGCCACACTGAGCGTGTCCCTGGCCTGCCAGGAGTACTCCACGGCTGTGGACATGTGGTCAGTGGGCTGCATCTTTGGGGAGCTACTGACTCAGAAGCCACTGTTCCCTGGGAAGTCAGAAATCGATCAGATCAACAAAGTGTTTAAGGTGGGTCTGGGCCTGTGGGGCCTTGATGTGGGAGTCGGTGGGATCCTTCCCTGCAGGGTGGGGTCAATTTGAGACGTCTCTGTCTTTCAGGACCTGGGAACCCCCAGTGAGAAAATCTGGCCTGGCTACAATGAGCTGCCCGCAGTCAAGAAGATGACTTTCACCGAGTACCCATATAACAACCTGCGCAAACGCTTCGGGGCCCTGCTCTCGGACCAGGGCTTTGACCTCATGAACAAGTAGGTGCAGGACAGCTGTCATCCCATTCCCAAGCCCCCCCCCCCCCCCCGTAGTGGCCCATACGTGCCCTTGTTTTCCCAGGTTCCTGACCTACTTCCCTGGGCGGAGGGTCAACGCAGAGGATGGCCTCAAGCACGAGTATTTCCGCGAGACCCCGCTCCCCATCGACCCCTCAATGTTCCCCACGTGGCCCGCCAAGAGCGAGCAGCAAAGGGTGAAGCGTGGCACCAGCCCACGGCCCCCTGAGGGAGGCCTGGGCTACAGCCAGCTGGTGAGGGGCAGGCTGGCAGGGATGGGGCAGCAGCGGGGATCCCCGAGGTGGGGTGGCCAGGCAGGAGCCCCATGGTGCACTTGTTTCCCAGGGCGATGATGACCTGAAGGAGACCGGCTTCCACCTCACCACCACCAACCAGGGAGCCTCGGCTGCAGGCCCAGGCTTCAGCCTCAAATTCTGAGGTTCAGGATGGTCCCCGGACCAACCCCTGGGAGCACTGACGGACAAGCCTCAACTGGGACCAAGGGCAGTTGCTGGGGGCGGTGTCCGGCTCCAGACCCAGGTCCTGCCCTGCCTGACTGGATCGAACTTCGAGTCTTGGACTACTGGTCTTGTTTGGTTTTCCACGTCTTGTTCTTATCTTGGCTTGTAAATTTGTAGAATTAAATCATTTTTTCCTTGTTGTGGAAGGAAAGGCTGTGTGTGTGTGTTTTCAGATGTTTCAGGCTTGCTTTGCGAGGAGAGGGCAGGTGTCCGCAGGTGGCCAACGTGGACTGCCCATCCCCTGAACACACACTCGGCCGTGGTGACCACAGGGCGCGGTGCCGTTCAGCTACTGGCTGAGATTTGGAATGGAGCTGTGGGGGGATTTTTCTACTTGTTAATCTTCAGGCTCCTGCTTTGGCACCTTCCTGGCTCCCTGGGGCGTCCCCAGCCCCAGGCTCCCCAAGTCCCACAGAGCTGGGCGTGCAAGCTCTCGGCCGCAGTGGGGTTTTGTACAAGGTTGTTAGACGTTTCGAGATGTGGTAAAACACTTGTAGGAAAGCTCTGGTATGTCTTTTCAGCAGCTGGCCTCGAGCTAGTGCTGCCTGGAGGGGAGGCTCGGCCGCACTCTGTGGGAGGAGGACCCGGTGAAGAGCAGCCTCTGACCTGACGTGGGCCGGGCTCTCCCTGGCCTGCTGGGCCTCCAGCTCCGGGTCTAGCTGGACAGGGTGTCACTCAGGCAGAAGGGGATGCTTGCCACTGTCTGGGGCCTCCACCTCTGCCAAGCTAGTCCCTTCTGCTGGCACCACCAGCCCCGTCCAACCCATGCTGAAGTGCTCACCCCTGGGCTTCACCTGCCCCAACCCGGTCCCACCGCCATCACAGATGCCTTGCAGGCACAGCGACCCCACCATTCCCAGCCCAGCCTTCCTGCCTCCCCATCCCTGAGCAAATGGAGGATGGACTCAGGGACCCTGGGCTCCACCAGCTCGGCCTCCCCCCCTGGGTGATGCTACCGGCACTTGGGCCTCAGGTTACCCCACTTTACCAGGACCGCCTGGAAAAGCCCTTCTTGGCCTGTCTCTCTAGTCTGCATCCTCACCCCCAAGGGACTCGGGGGAAGTTGGGGTGCCCTGGCCCCAGGCTCCCCACATCAAGCTGGGCATGGGCTGGGTGGCCTCACCCCACAGCGCCAAAGACTGGCCGCCCTCCCTCCCAAGAAAGGGCGCGGAGACTTCAAGGAGAAAGTGCTTTATCAGCCTCCTCGGCCCACGGGCAGATGCTCAGCTCCGCACACGGACTCGCCAGGAGTAGGTGCTGAGCACACGCTGCCGCCGGCGCACCACACAAGTGTACGTGCCCTCGTTGATGGCGTTGGCTATGATGCTCAGGTGCGCCTCACCCAGCGCCAGGTAGCCGGGGTAGGAGAACTCCAGGGGCTCCTGGTCCTTGTACCAGCTGCAAGGAGGGCAGGAGAGCTGGGCAGGGGCCCGAGACCTGCCACCCACCCTCGGTGCGTCGCGGGGCAGGGTCACTCACTACACTTTGCCTTTCTTGTGGAGGATCTTCTGGCCGCAGCGGAAGGTCACATTCCTGCCCTCTGGCACCAGCCTGGTTTTGGTCCTGGGAGGCGGCGCGGTGGAGGCCACTGTGGGGAAGGGGAACTCTGCTCCGGGTGGGGAGGGCCTGTCAGTACCCCGCCCTGCCCCAGACCCCTGCCAGGACTGGGGAACCCAGGCTTACCGTAGCAGAAGTCGCAGCTGCTGGGGCAGAGCCTTTTCATGAGCCTTCGGCGGGCGTCGCAAAAGCCCCTCCGAGCCCAGGATGCACACACAAACAGCCGGTCCAGGCAGCCTGCGGAAGGGTGACCTGGCCTCAGAGCCTGCCCAGCACCCCCGCCCGGCCACCTGCCCGCTGTGGGCACTCACCGTAGAGCCGGTGCAGCCCCCACAGCTCATCCTGCGACAGCGCCTTCCAGCCGCGCAGTGTGGCGTTGAGGTGCATGAGCGCACGGCTGTGCTGCGAGTGCATCAGGCCCAGTGCGTGGCCGATCTCGTGGGCAGCCACGTGCACCAGGTCGGTGAGCCACACGCCTGCGGGCCCCGCTGGTCAGCGCCTCGGACCCCGGCCCAGCCCTCCGCCCTCTGCCCTCACTCCCATGGCCCGCACATCTGCTGCAGTGCAGCCTCGGAGCCTCCCTCGGCTCAGCCATGGGAAGATAAGAATGTTCCCGGCCAGCCGAGGCGGTGAGCTCGGCCCCCAGGAATGCAGCTCCGGCTCCGGCTCCAGCGGCGTGGGGGGTGGGAGGGCTTCAGGGCTTCTGGAACCCAGGCCTATGGCCTCCTCACAGCCTCCCCCTCCCCGCCTGCTTAACCTCAAATCAAAGCCACCGCGATCCCCAAAGCCCTCCCGCTGTGCCCACCGTGGTGTGGAGGGCCCAGAGGAGGCCAGGCCGGCTGTCACCTTTCTTCCAGCTGTATCGGGTGGGGCCCAAGACCCAGTACTCGCTGTCGTCAAAGTGGATGCCACCGTGCGGGGGGAAGAAGGCGTGGGCCAGCTCACCGGTGGGGCCGTCGAAGCAGTGGTGCAGCGCGGAGACCAGGCAGTCGGTGTGGTTGACTGGGTAGAAGCCTGGGGGAGCACAGGGCTGAGCGGGGGCCTTGCAGCTGGGCGGGGGCGGGGGCACGGTGCCCACCTATGCGGAGGTCACTGGGCTGCTCAGGGGCCACCTCTCGGAAGCTGAAGGGGGACACGTCACTCCACATGCGGAAGGCAGCGGCCAGGCCCCGCCGGGTCTCGCTGGGACTCAGCAGGTTCCGTGGGAAGGAGAGGATCCTGGGGTGGGGTTCAACGTCAGGGGTGGCGGCCAGGCTGCACCGCGCTCCCCCCAGGGCCAGGTCGCACCTGTAGGTGAGGTTGAAGTGGTCCCAGCGCAGCCTGGCTGCGGTCAGCGTGTAGCGGCGTCTGCGGGGCGCCTGGGGGTGCAGCAGGCTGGGGCCCGGGGTGGCGAGGACCCGCGCGGGGTGATGCGCAGCGACATCGCCCTTCAAGGGAAGCAAGTGCTCCTAGGGAAGCAGTAGGGACTGTCCCCAAGTCGGAAACGCGAGAGAAAGGGACTAGAAGGAAGTGGGGTGGGGGGGTGCAGGTCAGGGGAGCGCTGACTTTCCCTCTGTCTGCGTTTTCTGCTTTTCTACCCCGAGCGAGTGAGCGTTACTTCTACAGCCAGAAAGAAAAAGGCTCCTAAAAACAGGCCAGGTCTGAGTGGGCGGAGCCGGAGGCCTGACGCCGTCCCCCCCGCCGGCAAACACAGGGCTCGCGGACCCTCGGACCGCAGAGCCGGCCCGGGCCCCCCTCGCGGCTCTCACCTGCGCTGCGCTCGCGGCGGGCCTGGCC